GATCCGGCCACCGAGCGCTTCCTGTTTGTGCTGCTGACAGGAGGCGGCTCAGAGCGTCGTAGAAACGAGGAAGAAGGACGACTCTGGAGGCCGAGCGGCCGTGGGAACCTCGAGCAGCGCCAAACATCACTCTCACTTTTCCAGAAGAGTCTCTGAGCAAACATCAGGAGCTCTGTTCCCCAAAATGTGGATAAAAACTGTTGAACTTTATGCTTTTCTAGAGGATCTGTGCAGACAAACAGAAATAAAACCATAGAACGTTCAGATGTGAAAATGATTTATGAAAACAGAGAGACGCTTCCTTTGGATTTTGCACATTAATTAAAATAGAAATGTCTTTTATTGGTGTTACACGAGCTGCAGCTGCTTGTGAACATTCAGTATAATATTATATAATATATGATGTAGATTCATAGAAGGTTTGGTTGGATGTAAACATAAAGATTCATCATATAAAATAATGGCCTTTTTTTAACATTAAATTAAATTATTTGTTCTTTCTTTCTCAGACACCAAAGCCCTTAAATGGGCCATTTTTATATATTTAATTTTTAAAAATTATTTATTGTTTTATTTTGGGTTGCTGGTTTCTTGATAAGGTCATTTTAAAAATATTTTATGTTTTTTTTTTCTTTTTTTTTTTTCTTTTATGAACAAATAAAGTTTAAATATTTCTTCTGTTTTCTTTTATTCTATTTTTATTTCTAATTTTATTTTTGGATTTTTTTAGGGCACTCATGCCTCTATACAGGCAAAAAAAATTTATTCTTTTATTTTTTTATTTGAAGTTAAATAATATTTCTTTGCTTTCTTAGTTTCTCAGGGCTAAGGGTTTTAGTTTTAATTTTAAAGTTTTATTTTATTTCTTTTTTAATTACGTTAAATGTTTTTTCTTGGTTTCTCAGACATTGATGTCCTTAAATAGGTCATTTTTATTTATTTAATTTTTATTATGACAATAAGTTATTTTGGTTTGCTGGTTTCTTGATAAGGTCATTTTTATATTTTAAATGTTTTTTTTTCTTGCATTATTAGTTTCTCAGGGCAAAGGCAATTATTACAGTTTTTATTTTTATTTAATTTCCTTTTTAATTAAAATAAATGCTTTTTTCCTTGTTTTTTTTCTTTCTTTCTTTTTTTTTTTTTAATATTAAGTTAAATTATTCTTCTTTGTTTTCTAAACTATATTTGTCAGACTAAACTTGTCGTGACCTGCTGCCTTTTAATAAATGTTCCTGATTCATTGCACTACGCGTGTTTTCAGTTTAAATGTTAATTCTAGACCATAAAGATTAAAGACATTTGATTATTTATTGTTGATATCCATAAATTCACAGGTTAGATGTTGCTGATGCTGCAGTTTCACAGGAGGAGGCGTCGCAGCGCGTTACTGAGACGATATCTGCTGCTGCTTTGTGTGTCTGTGTGGCTGCGATCAGACGCTCTGGTGTGTGTTTGTTGTGTGTTTGTTGGTGCAAAATGCAGAAACAACTTCATGCACCAACTCACAGACACAAACTCTGACTGCAGCCGACGTCTGGCCTGAAAACTCACTCAAATATGGATTTCAGCGCCGGGTCGTCTACCTGTCGATGGCGAGGCTTATTCTGCAAAGCATGTCAGTGAACCTCATTAGTGGCTGTGCAGGACTTTAGTCGGGGGCTTACACTACTGAGCGTGCTCTTAAAGGTCGATTCAGGTCGACAAAGGTCACCCGCCGAGGTCGGGGTTAACACTGATTGGCCGTACTGCTGAGGTCCGCCGTTCTGCAGCTCTGCATGCGGAGGCCGACCCGGTGGGAGTTTCACGCACCGCGGCAGAAACAGGAAGCGCTGTAATTGCTCGCAGCTGATTCATCGCTCGAGATAAAATGTGAGATAAAGCGTTGCAACAGTTGTTGTGGGTCGACCAGCGTGAATCAGAATGAGTAGAAGTGAATGTGTAGACGTGTTTCTGCAGCAGCTTGTGCACTAAAACGTGAAATTCCTGCAGCAATGAGCTCTTCTGCAACAACAAAACATGTTTCTGCAACACAGGTTTAATTTAAAACTGAGGAGACGCGAGGCGGAGGTGTGAAGACGGATATCCAGTGGTGCTAACACCAAAACCATCTGTGGCTAACACGTCCAGGCTGCTAATGGGCCCAACAGGTGATGCTAATGGTATTAGCCAACAACATTGTGTGGGAGCTAACGGTTACCAGCTTCATGCTATCTGATGTGCATTTAAACACTAAATATGACAGAAAGAAAGCAGCTTAAGGTTATTCTTACTGTTTAATCGAATGCAAAGCTGCAGTCTGAGGTTTGAAAAGTCAGATTTACTGATTTCAATAAACTACTCAAGTTGCAAACATTATTTTTTGATGGATTAGACACATTAACGCTCTGAAACTCAAAATTCACCAGCTTCACATCATGATATTGCCTAAAAATTAGTTTACCTCCTTTTCAAAATTGACCAAAAACAAAAGTTTTGAGACGGTGAAGCCAGAAAGACGCTGCCAACCTCAACGCTAGCTGGTCTGACTGAAGAATGCTTCTTCTTTATCGTGCTAGCTTAGCTTAGCCTTACTTCGACTCCAGCAGGTTCACACCTTCTTGCACCGTGATGCTTCCCACACATGCTAACCTGCAACCTGCAAACTCAAAGGCCTCGTGAGATGCGTTCATGTCCAGACAAACCAACGCTTGTTAGCATGTTAGCATTAGCACGTCAATACTCTGCCTGCTGCCTGCAGACTTTGTCAAAACTTGCTGCAGCATTTTGGCTGAACGATATTTCTTATTTCTGCTACTTTCATCCTCCAACATATCCTAAGAGTTTGCAGATTTACTGTAAATATAAAATACTTGTAGCAGCAGCACATTTATTAAAGTAAATGAGGGAAACACCGTGACTGTGGAGGCCTCTAACGTTTTTGGATGCTACGATCCAGGTCAGTGTGTCCTGCACTGATGTGGCCTCGTTCGAAAAGCTCTACAGTCTTTTATTAAATATACAATCAGGTTTAAGTCTCCAGTCTGCAGCAGGGAAACTCTGAGAGATCCTGCATGCTGTATGTTTTTCTCTCTGCTAATGGAAATCCAGACAAAAGAACAAAAATAGTAGAAGGTGTTAAAGGCAGCGAGGGAGGCACGTTCTGCTAACGGGTTCACGGTAATCTCTTAATGAACTTCCACGTGGAGTAACGGTGGAAACGGTGGGCCGGGGAAAGAAAAGAGGATGAGCAGGAAAAAGAGGAAGAGCAGGATGGGATGGAGGGGAAAAATGTATTAATAGCGGAAGATGAGGAGGAAGAAACTTTAGAGGAAAGCAGGTCGGCAGAGATCAAAGCCGGGCGTCTCCTGGTTCCGTTAAGGGAACAGAAAGAGGCTCGAGTGAGTCGAACACAAAGAGAAGCGCATCAGGAGAAAAATGCACGACACCAATGGTGCAAAAAAAGGAAAAAGCTACAACCTATTAAAGCGCTAATGTGGGAACAAATTTGCTCGTGGTGAGCGGTTTGGCAGCCTGACATGGGGTCTGTCTGAAATCCCCCGACAATCCTCTGCTGCCGTCAGACATTGGAAAGCAAGCCGGTGTCATCCACTTGACAAGTCAGAGGTCAGGTAAGCAGCTACCTGGTGGTAAGCATCCTGGGCAGTAAGCCTGACAGTGAGCCAGTTGGTGAATGGGGAGCGAGTCGAGCGTGACTGACCGGCTGTCAGCTGCCAGAGCCGCTGCACTGTCTGGAAATTAAATAACCGGCACAGAAATGCAACTTCTAATGTGGCTGGTGTTTGTGTTAGCGACTGCTGTTGACCCAGGAAGACCGAAACAGGAACCGAAAACAGTTTTCATACACGTCACCGAGTCAATAAAAGCCACTGATACCAAAACAGTGGAGTTAATAATGAGAAACAGCAAGAAACAGATTGTGAGCAGATGACGTATCATCAGTGACTGTGTTTGTATTCAGTGAAATCTCAAAACACCACAAGTTTTAAAACAGCTCTGTATTGTTCGTTTTTTTCAGAGCTGACCCACATCTTTAGTTCCCCTCCAGCTCGGAGGTTAAATATTTTTAACCCACGTTTGCGGTTCTCTGGTTCCACGTCGCTGCGCCAAACTTTTCTGCTTCTTTCGGTGTTCTGTGATGCTGCTCGTTCACGCAGCATCCAGGTAACTGTGCTGCAGAGCGTGTGGGCCGGCGTGTCTGCGTGCACGCGTGTGTCACTGCACATAGAGGCTAATCTGCCATAAGCTGGTTTATGGGCTCATCTGCAGTGACGCAGATCTACGCGCCAAGCTCTGCGCTGATAGATTCTCCATGACAACTAACCCTCAGAGACGGTGGCCCGTAGCCTACATACCGACCTGCAGCTTACCACTCACATAGGAGGCACGTTCACCGCACACACACGCTGCTTTTTAAAGCATTTACGATACAAATGTTGCATTAAATGTTGGGCTCGTTTTTGCACATTTAAGAAGTTGCATGGAAATTTCTGAAGATGGGTGAGAAACCACCTGTAGAGGGCGTGCACGAGCACCTTCAGTCTCACCTGTAAGTGACCAGAATGATCCCAACTGTAAAGCAACAGCGAAATAATTAACTCTTATTCATTTTGTCAGAGGATGAGGAAAATTCAGGGCACGCAGCCTTTGTTCCTCACACATGATGAGACTGACAAAAGGAGAAGTGAAGCTAAGACTATGTGAATTAAACCCCTTATTAAAATAATAAGGCTCAATGACAGACGAGTGTTTGGTGGCTGCATCTCTTGAGAAAAACCAACGTGCGTAAAAGCGTTTTGGAAGAAGAAGAAGTGCTGATATAAGTTTCGGTTGTGGGTTCAGAGCCCAGTCTGACTTCTTCTCTCCTCTTCCTTTTCTTCAGACACGCCTCAGTCTTCAGTCCTGCAGCCGCTGTGGGCAGCTATTAGTAGGTGTTTGCTGTCAATCAAAGCGACCCGCCCCAACGCTCCTCAGACGGGAAGCGCTTCAGTTCACAACTTCTCCAGCAGATGTGCAGCGGGACCTCTGCGGCAGCGCGCAGCAACCAGCGGGCGACAAACGGCCAAAATGTAAAGGATAAAGTCGCCATACGCCTCTTCCAGAAAGTAGGTGTGCATCGGGAGGGCGTCGAGGTGTTTTTAAACGATGCGTAAAGTTGTTTTTACGCAGCATGGACGCGCAATAACCTGTGCGTAAAAGTGAGCCAAAGAGGAGAGAAGTTGAAGAACGCTGGATGGGAGGTTTTCTCGGATAAAATGGATGTGTCGGTGAGTCTTTGGAACAAACTGAGAAGTTGACAGCGAGAGGAGCAACCGGTTGATTTCCAGACGGCGGAGACGGAGCGCGCAGTGGATGCAGCTCCTGAGTTGAATTTGTCTGGGTTGCAGACTTTATGTAAGAAGTAGGACAACACCGCCCAGCTAGTTCTTTCCGTCATGCGTACAGACGTTTCCAGAATCGTGTTGTTATGATCGAGTTCAGCCCTGAAGGGTCGATTCCACTGAGCGGAGCCGCCAGCTGATGCCGCAGCTCCAGCGGGAGTTAGCGGAAAGTTTCACATCCTCCTGCCTGCTGCCTCTTCTCGACATGGACGGGAGCGCGGAGTGCGTGGGCTCGGACGGGGAGAGCATCAGCCTCAGCGTGCTCAACTGGGAGCAAGTGCAGCGGCTGGACGCCATCCTCACCGGCTCCATCCCGATCCACGGCCGCTGGAGCTTCCCCACGCTGGAGGTGAAGCCGCGGGACATCGTCAAGGTGGTGCGGAGCCGCATGGAGGAGAAGCGGATCCATGTCCGGGAGGTGCGCCTGAACGGATCCGCGGCCAGCTACGTGCTGCACGAAGACAGCGGGCTGGGATGGAAAGATCTGGACTTAATATTCTGTGCGGAGCTGAAAGGAGAGATGGAGTTCCAGATAGTGAAGGACATCGTCCTGGACTCTCTTCTGGACTTCCTGCCGGAGGGAGTGAATAAAGAAAAGATCACACCAGTGACCTTAAAGGTAGAAACCAAACACACGACTCACGTACAGAGGCTAGATCACAACTTGTAGAGCAGGAAACTTCTCTGCCTCATTTGTCCTCTTTTATTTCCACCTACTCTCACCTAATTACACATTCAGCAGAGGTCATAATTGCACATTTTTCCTGCTTTGCAAATGCACCCAAATTATATTTACACAAATGTGAGCTCTGCATCCAAACAGCACAGACCTGCAGCCACTCAAAAAGTAAAAAGGTCGGTTTCCAATTCAAAGAGGATTCTGTCTAATCCAATTGGAGTCGGATCCACATTAATCAGTCGGCCCTCAGTTACCTGGATACCGAGGACTAGCAGGGCTGCTAATGGCCCGCAGACAGATGTGATCAGCAAAACATCCCCAATAACAGACCAAACTGAGATTTATATCTGCGCACAAACAGCACTAATGTGGGGTTTTCTGAAACCCGATCAAACCGAGGCTGGTTCATAATCTCCTCCTAAGACCCGGAGTGCAGTCGTTTCTAACCACGAGCACATGATGAGCAGGTCGAGTGTCACTTTCAGGGGAAGAAAAAGTGAAGTAAAATTATATTACAGCTGTGAAAGGGAGGAAAAAACAGAGGAGGCGGAGTTGATTCATGGAGGCAGAGAAGGCAGGAGGCCTCAGCGTGATGGAAAAAGGAAAATCTGGCGTTTATTCTTCGTGAAAATAGGAATTAGTGCTGAAGATTTTAAATGATTGTGATCCTCTAAAGCCAGTTATTTGTTCCTATTTTGCTGCAGCGGCTGTTGGGAGGCGTATCGGATGCACAAATGGACAGATTGTGTTCTTTAATATGATAATTTTCACTGCTGAAGTGGCTGCATCTAGTTGCCAACTCTCTGTTCCAGCAGTGTCTTAGATTTCAAGAGTTTTTATCCGTCACAGGACGTGCAGTGAAATGCAGAGCGACTGTTCTTCAGGACTGTGCAGAAGAAAGAAAAACTCACTGATGCAACCTGCAAAAACACGACTTCTTACAGCTCCACCTCATGTTTTTCTGTGTGTTTGTCTTCAGGAGGCTTACGTGCAGAAGATGGTGAAGGTGTGCAACGACTCGGACCGCTGGAGCCTCATCTCGCTGTCCAACAACCGCGGCAAAAACGTGGAGCTCAAGTTCGTGGACTCGCTGCGGCGGCAGTTTGAGTTCAGCGTGGACTCCTTCCAGATCCGCCTGGACTCGCTGCTGCTCTTCTACGAGTGCTCGGAGCACCCGATGGCCGCCACGTTCCACCCCACCATCCTCGGCGAGAGCGTCTACGGCGACTTCCCCACCGCCCTCGACCACCTGCGCCGGCGCCTCATCTGCACGCGGAGTCCCGAGGAGATCCGCGGTGGCGGCTTGCTGAAGTACTGCCACCTGCTGGTGCGGGGTTTCCGCGCGGCGTCCGACGGCGAGATGAAGCTGCTGCAGCGCTACATGTGCTCGCGCTTCTTCATAGACTTCCCGGACGTGAGCGAGCAGCGGAGGAAGCTGGAGTCGTACCTGCAGAACCACTTCGTGGACCTGGAGGACCGGAAGTACGACTACCTGGCGACGCTGTACGACGTGGTGCAGGAGAGCACCGTGTGCCTGATGGGCCACGAGAGGCGCCAGACGCTCAGCCTCATCTCATCGCTAGCGCTGCGGGTCCTGGCCGAGCAGAACGCCATCCCCAACGCCGCCAACGTCACCTGCTTCTACCAGCCGGCGCCGTACGTCTCGGACGGCAACTTCAGCAACTATTACGTGGCGCAGGTCCAGCCGGTGTACTCGTGTCCTCCGTCGCCGCCTCAGCAGTACCTCCCTCTGTCGCAGCATCCCATGTACGCCACCTGGTTGCCCTGTAACTAAACCGACTCTTGTGTAACCGCGGCGATGTTTTTATCGCTTCCTCAAGACAAAATTAGACAAGGAGCGGATAAAAGAAGAGAATAAAGGAAGGAAGGGAACCTTGATCAGGCCAGAGTTCAGCCTGTCGCTGGGTTCGGGTGCCGCGGCAGGAAGCGACCAAAGAGGCTCATCTGTCAGTTCGACCGAAGTCGAACCCGGAGGAGATAATTTTAAACGATGAACATCTCCACATACAGCCACAACGAGTAGCAGAGGACACACATGAAGATTCATCCAGAGATTCTCCATGTTCCACTGTGAGAGTGTGTGTGAATGTGTGTGTTCACAAGCAATGCAAAAAAAAAAAGAAAAGAAAAGAGGAACTGGATACTGTTTACAAATCCAAAGATCTACTTTGATATCAAGTTTTTTTCTGAACTCTTGAGAGAAAAACCAAAACCAACAAAACAATGCATGCTTTATTTCTGTACAGGAATAATGTTCTTCAAAGTGCCTCGATGAAGCCTAAAGGGAAGAGCTGTGTTTGTGATTCTGTATCGTAGACGACTTGTCTCTTTGATTACGGTGATAATGAATGTACGGAGGGTTTAGCGGTGCCGAGGGACGATCTCCTGCACCGAGGGGAGCCACCGGACCGACCGGGGGTTTAGTTCTAGTCGAAGACTCTGCGCTTATCAGCCGTCCTGTTGGACAAGTACACATCCTGATTACCAAAGAGGAAGTAACAGCATAATCTCATCATCTGTAGAAGCGGGTGGAGGCGGGGGGGTGAAGCAAAAAATGCTTATAAGAGTAAAGTAGATTTGAGAGAAATGTGCAGAAAAGAAGGAAGTTTGGCTGCAAGAAATAACAAAAAAAGACATTTCTTTTATCCTTCTTTTGTTTTCTGGGCATCAAAACACGAAAACAAATTGACAACTGAAGCTCCAACCAGAGGCGATGATCAGCTTTAGGGGTGAAAAAGAGAGAATCAATAACCAGATGTGTCGCCTGCAGCCGGAGCTGCACGTGAAGGAACCCAGTTGTTTGTTTCTTCCGAGCAAACAGAACCAGTGTTTGCATTCGGCGTTGCTCACCAGAACGTGCTGGGTGTTTCCTCGACGCAACACAACAGGGTGTTAACAAACATGTCACTCTGCTGCGCGGGTTTCCTCATGCACGGGCAAAACACACACAACTCTATAGGGAACCTTTAGGTTGCATCACAGAAAGCGGAGCGGATGTGCAACCGGGGGGCAACTGGGTTTTCAAAATGTTACACTGGAAAGTTGTAAAATAATAAGATTGTAGAGAAAAAAAATCGAACCCACTCTTCAAAATCAGCAGAACACGTGGACTGTGCATGCATGGAGCGTGCATAATTAAAGGTTAATTGACTTTTTGCTGCAAGAGCTCAAGGAAAACCTTTCCGGGCTGAACTTGTGTGACTCCACCTGCAGCCTCGTTAGCGTAGCCGAATTCTGAATCAGCATTAAAAGCGACTGTTTGCAGCACATTGGATCTTTTCAAGCCGATTCTGAGCAGCGGCACAAATTCAAAATAAAACGACAAGAAATTTAAAAGTCGACTTGCTGTTTTTTTCGACGATTTAACGAGTTGTGTGACGCGAAGATTGCCGTTTGCAAAGATGCGTTTGCAGCCACGCCGGCTCGTTTGGAAACAGCGGATTGGTGCAGAGCTCGTCTCCTCATTAAAACAACACCTGAGATTGTCCCAGAATCTGGTCAAACGAGACCAACTAATCGACCCGGACACTACAGAATTGCACACCAAATGATCGTTTGTTAGCGTTTTCTATGCAGCTTCAAGGCTTTTTATCCTCCTTTATGCACTGTAAGAGAAACAAGAAGAAGAAGGCTGCAGCAGATTATTACTGTCAGAGTCAGAACAAAAACCGGCTTCATGTTCAATCCGTGGAAAAAGTTTGTCTCCTCGAGGAAATACTGTAAAAAAAAAAAAAGTAAATGTACAGACGAATAACAATCATTTGTAAAAGGCAATAAACGACCTGTCGGGGTAGAACTTTTTGTGACGAGGTGTAAATTTATCAGCTTTGAACTCGCAGCATCTTCTTCTCAAACGCGTCAGATCTCCTATTTTTCTATCGATCTTCTATTTTTGTACAGTTTGTGTTTCGGGGGCCGACGTAGCGGGCGGATTCAGAGTGTGTTTCTCTGTGTGTGTGTGTGTGTGTCGTCGTTGCTGTTTTGTTGTGTTCTCGGCTGATGAAGAGCAGCGCAGTGGCTTCGGCGACGTGCACTCGTGTTCACTGTTTGTGCGCTCTGAGCTGTTTTTGTTTTTGTTTTCTTATGGATTCCTGTTGCTCTAATGAGATTGTTTCATTGCTCCTCGGTGGTTTTGAACCGCGGTCCTGCTGCGGAACACGGAAACAATGATCTGATGATTGTGTTCGAGTTGACCGACTTGATAATTAAAAGAGAGAAAAGAGAGTTTTTTTGTTGTTGTTGTTTTTGCTGTTACCACACACACACACACACACACACACACCAGCAGCCACAGTAACATCCTAAAAGGTTGAACTTCAAACACCTGAGATTGTCCAAGCAATGAGAATCTGGTTGGATGTTTGACCGACTAACCAACGACGCACCACACGATCATTTCTTAGCGTTTGTCTCGCAGCTTGAAGGCTTTTTGTCCTCCTGTGTGCACTTTAAGAGAAAATAAAGGTCGCGGCAAACAGCGGAGGACAAAAACCCGCCGCACAAAGGATGTTTTAGGATTACTGGCCACAGCAACACCATGTTTCCTCCGGCTTGCCGAACCCCCCGGTTTAGCCGCGGTAAACCGCTCTGACATTTGGTTTGGGTGCCCAGAGGGAAAAGTCTTCATTAGGTCAACGTTCGGAGGTGGCCCCCGCCAAATCCTCCGGCACTTTTGCTGCCAGCGGGCGACAGCTTGAACGTGAAGGATTTCCCCCCTCCGAGAGACGTCACGGTCGGCCGCCGTCGTGCCAACCTCATTAGCCGCCAACGCCGGGTACATGTAAACCTTACTACCGGCAGAGCCCTGGTCTCCAGGGAACACATGGTACCTCTCAGAGTAGATTGGCTCCAGGTCTGCAGCGCTCTGATGCCCGGAAGCCTCGGCCTCCAGATGTCACTTTCAATGCTGACGCTGGGAAAAATATTCTTTCTTTCATGAGCGCTTTCATCTTTTTTTTTTTTAAACTTTCTTTATTCTGTCTGTTTCTCTGTCACTCTGCTGGTTTTCTTCTCCTCTGTGTTTCTGCCCTTTACCTCACTTTTATTCAGCTTCTTGCATCTTGCTGGTTTTTTTTCCTCCTCATCTCTTTCCTGATGAATTTAAGCAGAGCGAGATGAGCTCCAGAGAGGAGAACAGGGCCAGTGTTATCCCTGCTAAGAGGGAGAGAGTGGACGCTAAATATAGGCCCCCCTCTCAGCCACGGTAAGGACATTAGCCCATCTGCTGAAAGCTGATTAGCCTCCCTCCATGAACATGTACGCAAAGCTCCGGTGTAGCTGCTGTGGGGAGATTTACCGGCTATTGCACTGTAACACATACCTGCCTCATCTCCTGCCGTCTTTCAGGTCACTCTCGCTGGAAAGGGCCAAAAAAAAAAAAAAGAAAACAGTCCACTTCCTTATCAAGAGCTTAAAGGGAACTGAGAACAAGGGATTGAGGCGTTTAGTGTGTTGCACAACAAGGAAAAGAGCTAACCCCATAACACAGTCGGCTTAGACGTGTGTTTTAACAGAGACATGACGACGTGCGTCATGCAGACATTTATTAGACGACATGGGGTCCAAGACTGGGCCTGTAGAAATCAAGAAATCTGGCCACCACATCCATCCAAGTTGTCTCTTTGTGCAGTGATGCTCTGCTCCCGGTGCTCCTGCAACGCTTAAAGTCCTGCTCTGTAAATGTGCAACACCATCCACGATGAGCTGAATCTACTAAATGTTGGCGATGCTTCAACTCAAAGCTTCAACCGAGCGTCATTTCGGGGAAGAAGAGGAAGTTGCCAGAAGCCAATTTTGGTTTGAGAGTGACGACTGTGTGGCGTGCGGTGCCTGATCGCCCACATCTGCATGGCGTTGCACCATAGTTCACGTGGCGTTCCTCACCGGACTCTCCAGTCTCGGAGCCGGCCTGATTTCTGAATCAAACTATTCTCTTTGTGCAGCGATGCTCTGCTCCCAGGGCTTCTGCAACACTTGTACCGCTCCCTTGCAAGTCCCGTTCAGTAAACACATGGAGCTCCATCTATGTTTGGCGGAAAACCTCCTCAACTGGGTCCAAACAGCAACACTTCGACTTGAGTTTCATTTTGGGGGAAGAGGAAGAAGTCGACAATTTTGGCGAGAATGCCAAATGAAGATTGTGCCGTTGTGACCAGCATGTAATCGCCCACATCTGCATGGTATCGCACCACACTTCATGTAGTTTGCTCTAAATGTTCTACCTCAAACACCTCAGGGCACTACAGGAGAAGTCTGCAATGACAGTCGCCATCCCCATAGAAGTACTGTCCTGGCACAGTGCTACTCTACTCTCTAGTCGCCGGGAGCCAGTTTTACTGAGCAGGGCAAGTGGAGAGCGACGATTGTGTTGCTGCAGATAAAAAACTTGTCACAGTTCATGTAATCTGCTCTAAATGTTTCCCTCAGAAACCTCAGGATGTTACAGCAGAGCCTGCCAGATTCACATGCTACCCGATGCAAGGTTTGGTCACCGTCCCTGGTGAAACAGTCGCCTTGTGCAATGAGTTTTGATTTCTTTTTAACATTTACGGTCTTAAAAACTCAAATCAGTGCCTGAAACACGTCTTCACCTGCTGCCTTTTAGGTCTGACACCTCTAGAATAGCAGCATTTACTAATACGAGGGTTGATCAGAAAGTTCTGAGACTCCAGACACTAACTTTGTTTTACATTTGCACACAAAAAGCAGCTACATAACGTGGGGAAGGAACAGAGGATCCAAAAAGCAGAATATGGACTCAAGTTTGTTGTTAGCTCTCTTAGCCCCAGTAGTCTTTTGGCTCCCTTCCCCATAGAGGTAGTGTCCTCGTGCAGCGATGCTCTGCTCCCACTGCTCCTGCAACACCCCGGAAGTCCCGTTCTGCAAAAATATAGAGCGCCATCTATGCTGATTAGCTTAGCTTCCCTTCTACAAAGGGAAACAGCTAGCGTGGCTCCATCTGAAGGGAAACAGATCCGCCTAAAAGTCCCGTTACATCGACATTAAAGAAACGTCTAAATCTCAGCTAACATCCGGTTTAAACCTGGTTTAAGGGGTCAAGTTTAACAGACGTCAAACCAACGATGCCAACGCTGAACTTAAGCTAATGAGCTAATTAGCAGCTCCGCGGCTAAAACACACACACAGCGGCTTATGGTGTTTATATGGAAACAAACCAGCTCTTCATACAAAAAGACAGGAGATTAATTAATGTGTCGACGTAAAGAAATGACACAAACCTGTTTGTATAGTTAAACATTTAAGAGCCCATTTTGGGAGTCACGATTATCTTAACATGACTTCAGTTGTTTGTGTGACAGTTAAATGCCATAAAGACTGAAACTG